CTTGTGCCCGTGAATACTAATTCAATTGCTTTTCAGCAATAAGCTGTTCTAATTGGACTACTAACAATTACGTCCAACTATGCACTCTATAGAATGGTGCATTATGGACAGAGTGTGCAGGGAAAGATTAGAATGTCTAATTAAATCAAATTCACATTAATGATCAACTGTGGCTCTTCCTTGCATTTCGAAAGCTACTTAAATAACAATGTACACATTTATTGGTTTTGAACGCAATAAAACTGGTATTATATTGAATTCTTGGTTAATAATATAATTTTAGTCGAATTGTGGATGGATGAATGAAGTCTTTCCACAACAAAACATTGAATGTGACCTCTTCTTTTGTGCTGATCAGATGGAATGAGTCAGGACATCTCTGTAAAGAAGGAAAATCCACCAGCAAATACAAGTTTCAAGCCTAATATTCAAGACTTTGCCAAATTATTTCAGTTGTGGCAGCCTAGCTTGGTTGATAGCACTCTTGTCTCCCACATCGGCATTTTAACTCAATGCTGAGGATGTTGTATCGTTGGAGTTGTCATCCTTCAGATAGATGATATAGCGAGATTTCATCTGGCTGTTGAGGTGGACATGAAAGATTCCTTGACACGATTCAAAATCAGAAAGGAACTTTTCCCTGTGTCCTATCAATCCAGTAATCAAAATTGATCATTCACATCATGGCTGCTGGTAAGATGTTGCCATGTGTAAATTTACTGCTGCATTTGTCTGCAAAATACACAGTCGTCACACTTTACAGTAAATCCTGTGAAGCACTTTGAAAGCACCTCCTGAAGAGAAAGGCACTGTATTACTATTACTATTGTGCTGTCACACAAAGGTAAACAAAACAGATTCTGTATGGAAGCAGAGAATATAGTGTCCAGTTCACTGGCTGGTAATCCTTCGCTCAACAATATTTTTTTAAAAGTTTTTTATCATTGTGGAGTCCTGTAGCTCAGTGGTTAGAGCGCTCGCTTTGCAAGCGAGAGACCTGAGTTCAATTCCAGGCAGAGGGCGAAACCTTGGGCAAGTTTTCTTACTCCACACAGAGCCTAATAATAATCCTTCCAAAAAAAACAAAAAAAACAACAATAAATTGGTCATTTTCAATCTACGGCTGTTTGTGGGACATTTCTGTGCGCAATTGGCTGCTGCGTTCGCCCACAAATATACAGTCAATTCACTTTACAGTGTGTTCTGTGAAGCGCTTTGGGACGTCCTCCCGACGTGAAAAGCGCTATATCAAATGCAAGGATTATTGTTATTAGTAGTATTATTGGCCACATAAGATCACATACTCTATAGTGCTATCAGCTTTAAACTATTCCACTGGACCCAAAAGACACACAACATTCCAATAAGAAGCATCAGAAATGAAGATGTTGACAAATTTAACATGGTACTCTGTGAAATTGTCATAAGTGAAGAAAATGTTAATTTAATGAACTAGTCTAATGGCAATCTGAATTGAGACCTGTGAGATTGCTACGGTAATTATAACATGATGGATCAATCCTGTTGCAAGAGCAACAAATTCAGAAAATCTCTAACTTAATGTGTACATGGTTATTAAAGTTGTGTTGTGTGTAATTGTGTGTGTGAGAGAAAGACACCACACAGACACACACACACACAGAATGACAATGACATACAGAATTAAAATATGCATGGGGTGGGGGGTGGGGTGGTGCGGGAAGAGAAACCGTTAGCTAAGACATTCATAAAATCACAAGACAAGGTGAGGTTCATACTTGGGGAATTTAGCCAACATCACAAATCACAAAAATGATATTTCCATTCGCACATCATCACCTGTAATGTGTTTAGTTTCCCATCATAATGTTATTCTGGTATGTATATTAGGTGTTAAATATTGATCTTTTACTGAAGGATCCCAGTCAATACAAAGCTTCCATGAGAAAAGCTATTCAAATACGATGTTGCATCTTCAGGGCATTTGACTTTTCTAAACTTCTTCAGATCAGATGAGGCTACTTTTGAAATTTGGTGTGTGCATTTAGGATTCCTACATTCAGGTCATTGAAGTGCTAGAGAATGTTCAGAAAATTATTATTAAATTAAAGGATAATTCAAGGGCTTAAAGCTCTAAATTATTAGGAGAAGCTCGCAAAGAAGAATTTGTTCATAGTAGGTTAACGTTTCGGGGGCTGGGAATGTGATCCAGATCTTTAAAATAATGAGAAGCAAACCTGACTTAGGTTGATGTAAGCAGGCTGTTTGACTTAAAATTGAATTTAAATTAAAGATTCTCACAATGGGACTAGCGTTNAAAAAAATCCCGATAATATGGTGAATATTTAGAACAGACTTTCAAAAAAAAGTAACTGATGCTGCATTAATGAACTTCTTGAGTAATTAACTGGTTGAGAAAAGTATTAGACAAACAAGAATAGGAATAGACAAAGGTGTCAAAATACACGATGAGACTTAATGAATTCTATCTACACTGTCCGAATGAGAGGAAGAATGCGTTTTGTGGAGGGAAAGAAGGTAGATTTGAATAATGGATTTCGTTTCTCAACGTCGACTTATGAGAGTTAGTGCAATGAACACATCTCACGCACATCTCTGTTGTGTTGTGTGCGTGCTCCGTTGACAAGCACACAATTTACACCAAAGGTATGGTACGGTCAGTTCAGAAATAAAGAGATTTTGTGAAATAATATACTCTGATTTGAAGAGTTATATACCTCTAATAAATATAAAAAAATCTGAAGCATTCTGAAAAAAACCTACATTTTTAACCGCTTTGATCTTTATATTGATATATTGACAGTGAAGGGTCAATGTAGTTTAAATCAGTTAGACATTGTAGCGCTTATCAGTGTCAAACACATCCACTCGCTGAGGGATTAGCACTTTGAGCCCACTTTGGCTCTTGTCACAATATTTACTTAGCCGAGTTAAGTGTTTAGTTTCCTGTTTTATTAACTGCAATTCAACTGGTTAATGCAAAACCTTCGATCTAACTCAGCACAATACCATTGGCAGAAGCTTTCTTTTTAAAAAAGAAAATATATAAAATTTAGACATCGGAGGTTTCAAATTAAAATCCTCTTGACTTATTGAGTTTTGGTTTTTACCATCGCTTGGAACCAGAAACTTATTCAATTCCACATGTAAAAATGAATACAATTAATAAAGAAGTGAAAGAGGGAAGGTTTAAAATAAAATCCACCAGTGAAACAATAAGTTATCAGACAGCACTCCGCATTGCAATTAAAGATTGTACCATTATTCATAAACCTCCTTCGTTACTCAGACAGAAGTTTTAAATCCAGAATTTGATCTGCCTTCTCCTCATATGAAGAATAGTATGAGAATGGTCTGCAGTGACCAAGCATAGTCTGTTGAATTTTGTTAGAATAAGATATCAATCTGTTTATCTCTCTTAAGGTGTAAAAATGTTGGTTAAGTGCTTTCGGTTTATGGCTTTTGTTAGATTTTGTGAGTTAATGAGTTTTATGGTCCGTTGGGAGTCTTTTAGTCTGAATGGTAGTTGAGTTAACGAGTTTATGTTTTTGAACTGTCAAAGTATAAAGGATTTAATGAAGGAGGTAATTCTTAGTCAACTAGGAGTTGAATTGGTCAAAGTACAGAAAACTGAATAGGTAAAAAATCACATGGTGCACATTTGAAGTATAAAAGAGAGGGAGTTGAGTCATATGACAATTGTTGAGTTTTGGAGTTTTAACTAACATTTGACTTTAATAACATTAATTATAAAAACTCTGAATTTCAGGAACTTATAAGAGATGTGAATTTGGGTTAAGGTTATTCTCTTTGTTTACCCCTGGTGGTCCAAGTGTTGAGGCTCAATGGTTAGATATTTTATAATGCATAAGATATTATGCCTTGTTAAAGTTATATTAATATAGTATTATCAAAGTTTGTTATTCTTGCGTTGAATGCTCCAAATGTGGGAATATATATATTGAAGCATATGGGTTTGAATAAATAAATAATATTTTAGTAAAAGCCAAGTGTTGGGTGTATTTTGTGAAACCACTCTGACCGGGCACATACCCTAATAGTAATTTGAGAAGAGTCGCACTTTTCAGAGTGCACCTGGAAGGTGTGTGTAATTCTCGCCCAGAGATAAGATACTGTGACGGTCTATAGATAAATATAACTGTCAGTATGGAACTGAAGCAAGCAGAATTTTCTTTGGGATTGCTAAGGGATTTTTGTGTGTGGGATGGTGGGGTGCGGGAAGATATTGATCTCTAGAACATTAAGTTATATTGCATAACAGCTTTAGCACTTAAGACAAATGAAGCACTCTACCCATTTCAGTAAAACTTATGGTGGAAGGTTTTCTCTAAAGAACAGTGAACAACAAATCTTGATAACTGAAGTGAAACGGCAAGATCTGCTCATTAGAGCGTGATTGTAACCAACAGCAAAGAGTGTATGTGAGGCAGTAACATCTGCTTTCACACTGCTATTTATATACAAAACTGGCTGGAGAACAGTTTCTGCTGTACAGTCCCCGAGATACAATACAACACAACACAGCAGAACAATGGACACTGCCAAATCTCAAGTAGCAACAGGAATTTTCATTCTGATATTATTCATTTTTAGATGGTCCCAATACACCTTCCAGAATTGGTGGACGTGACCAGAATACTACCGTCCTCTATATAAAAGGAATAGTATCTCAAAACTGCTGGCTGAGCACCCAAGCTGGAAGGTGGGAGCCGAAAATACAGTCAGAGATGGGCCTTGAAAGAGCGGAGGGAGGAAACAAGGAAATGAGGGAAGGGTGGGAGCAAATATGGAAAAGAACAGAATATTAACAATGACGTTCTGTCACTTTCCAGACTGAATTCTAAAGGTTAGTGATTAGACTTGAGACTGAGATGGCACACAATGTAGAGCGTTCTCTGGGTTGTTGCACATGTGTGTCAATCTTTTTAAAGAGTGCGGAATAAAAACAGCACGTTAGTCCAACCAGCTGCACTCCCTACCTCGACAGATGGTTCCATTCCCCACATAACCAGGCTTGCAGGTACACCGATGTCCTCTAACAGTGTTTGTGCAGATTGCATTCTCATCGCAGTTGTGCTGTCCATTCCCACATTCGTCATGCTCTGGAGAAGAAAGACAATTCTGCTCAAGTGTGACAGACAGCTTTAGAGATTACATTAAAAGCAGTCAAAAAGCAAAAATCAATTGGAAGGTGTGCAGAACAAATATATTTCATCATGGAACCCAGTTTCTGGAAATTTAGTCCCTGGGGTTAAACTCCCAGAGCACAGCATCAAAGGATGTTCATCAAATTTTAATATAATTGTTATTTGTGCTGTAACCAGTTTATTTTGGAGTTGTTTTACTTCAACTGCTGTTGAAACAATCCTCAAACTTAAAAAAAAACTTTAGATAGTTCCAGTTGCAATGGAATTTCCATCACTTCAATTAACAAGCATGAAATTAAAAGAAATACACTTCCACTGAATATCCTTCAATTTTCTTGATATTGCTTGTAAAACTACTGCTGACAAATAGTCTCATAATAACTGGTGATCAATGCACAGAAGATTTCTTCTTATTGCTTTTTGTGAAAATTTGCTTTTGTCTATTCAGTTTGAAAAAAAAACATTAAGTACAATATATAGCCCATATTTTTCAAGTCTCATGAACTCTTCAAACTGCAATGGGTGATTGTCACATTTACCCTAAAACCACAGTCACTCCACTTAATAATATATCTTGTGAAGCACTTTGAGCTGTCCTCCTGACATGAAAGGAGCTATACCAAATGGAAGGATTATTATTTATCATTATTAGTGTTAAGCTGGTCCCAAAGTTTCGAAAAGTACCAACATTCTTATCTCTCATACCACACGAATCACTTGTCTGCAAAATGTCTCCCTCGTGAACTTAAACAATAGTGTCTGCCTCCACTGTCCAACGTTAGAACAGAACAGTGTGTAACAAAATACTCAGGAGCAGGTGAGTTTAACATATCGGAACTGTTGTGGTTTGAGATGGTGCCAAATCCTAAAATGGATTCCCTCGTGGAAAAATCTGCTGTGTATCTCATTATGACAGCAAACAGGTTCACTCTGCACACGTACTAATCATCCCATAACGTGACCGTTCCTGTTGATAACTTCCATCTTACTAATTAGGCAAGTTTCCATTGTCAAATGTTCCATAAAACACTGTTCCATCAAACTGTGCTGAGTAAAGATTACAGCAGTATTCCACGGGAGAAATATTGTACACATCTTTCTTTTCATCTGACTTTTCCCTCAAATTATTTTATCTCAATATCTTTGAGTTTATATAAGGTACCAAGTTATGGCTTTTCACATGTAAATATATGTATAAATACAAGGCCAAAAATCTCTGATGACAGGATATCATCATAAAAACACGTTTTTAATGAACCAGAAAATGAGTTACAAGATTTATTTTCTGACCAGAATTTAAAAAGGATGATAATTTTACATTAAACAAAAACTATATATAAAGGATGGAATCGGATGATATTTCATATGATCTATTCAGTCTACTTAACAGTATGTCCAAAGGAACTTTGGAAGGAATAATTCAGAGTTTATTTTGGTCCCTGGAAGATATCTGTCAAATCCTTTCTTTACCAGATTTCTTAATAAAATGAATTGATAAAACCAATTGGAAGGGCAAGATGCCGGCTCGGTGACCACTTCACATTTCACATACAAAGGAAGATCTGAATTCACCAGAAAGCAATGTCAATTGAAAATTAGTAAGAACTGTGATGTTCCATTGCATCCTGAAACCATAATGTTAGGCCAATTAGGTATACATTCATCTCAGCATTCAGTACACGGTCTTATTATTGAAACAGATGCTGCGGATGTGTCTGCGTGTTTTCCACCTAAACCCCTTTGTGGCCTTTCCCCTTTATAGATTGTTGTATAACACAAGTTGCCTTGAGGCAGCTCCTTTTTTAAGTGGAGACCTGTAGCTCAGTGGTTAGAGCACTCGCATCTCAAGCGAGAGACCTGGGTTTGATTACCAGTAGGGCAAAACATTGGGCAAGTTTCCTTACTCCACACACCTGATAATAATCTCTCATGAAAAAAAACAATAATAAAATTGGTCACTTCAATTCATGACTGTTTGTGGGACACTGCTGTGTGTAATTATCTGCCGCGTTTCACCCACAAATATAGTCAATTCACTTTACAGTATATTGTGTGAAGTGCTTTGAGACGTCTAGAAGACATGAAAAGCGCTATCTCAAATGCAAGGATTATTATTATTATTTATTTTTAAATCTTTAAAGTCTTGTTTAGAAAGGGGGGAAAAAATCACTTGGCTCGAATCCAGATTCTATCAAGGCATATATGCAACATGCTCATGTTTGTGTTGGCTTCTTAGAATGCTCCAATGTAAGCAATTATTATGCAAATTAAACCAAATTAAAATATGCATCTCATTCTACTTAAAAATACAAGTTTTGCTTGGTTTATTCAAGTGATGCTGCTCCAAAATAGATTGAGATAGGTCAGTTTCGCCTGAATAAATTCAGGGGAAAAAAAGTAGGTACTCAAATGATCTCAGGTAAAAAAAAATAATTAAAAACAGTGACAATCAGGATGTTTCAGGCTGGTTAGGAATCCATTATTCAGAAGTGGGAGCATCTCCCCCCAAAAAAATACATTTTAATGCATTACTTAAATAAGGAATGGAACGAGTTTAGGAATGCCATAATTATTTTCATGTGATTTTTACAGTTATCAAGTATTAATGTTAAGGGCATCAATGCAAGGAAAGCAAATGTTTCCACTTTTCCTATTCAGTGTCAGCATTAAGAACGCTTAGGTTAGATCTGGGTTAGGCTAGATACTGCCTGAACTAGAAGAATAAATACAACTACTCAATGAGCATTAGCCTCAAGGCTAAGAAAAGTACTCACTAGAGTACAAGTGCATTATTTCATTTTGCAAACCAGAAGTCCTCATGGGCTGGCTGCCTGAGTCAGATTGCTAAATATAGCATCAATTAACACTTCTATGGGCAGTCTCATTCCCACTTGTAACTGGGCTAACATTTTCCAAACTAATTTCACTTAGGACCCTTATTGTTAAGAGAGGATAAAGCTTCATCCCATCAGTGTTGGCAGGGTTCAAACCTATATCCCACAAGTGAAATCTAGTCAGCAAATCTCTTGACAAGTGATCCAGGGTGTGCTACAAATAAACTTGTAGCATTGTCGGCTTCTGTTTCACACCATTAGAAAAAGGGTACGTGTTGACAGCATTGTAATGTCACTTCATACAAATAGCAAGGAATATGAAGTTTCCTAGCATATCTAACCTGCCTGAAAGATATAAACAGCAACCCAATGGCCTCAAGCTGCTAGAAAGATAACTTGCATCCAACAAACTGTTCACTGCAAAAATATTACCACTATTTACTCTTTTTTACTCAACATTACAGCGACCATTTACCTTTTAATTACAATTAATATCAGCAATCGGTTCATCATGACACATGGAGGAACCAGAATACACAACAGGCATCCTTGCCCCATACCATGTCCATGGACAAATAACACACGTCAGCAAAGCAACAGCAGCAGCAGTTAAGGATGAGACTTCCTGCAGGTAAACTGATGGGTTGATGGGGGCAACACAACATGATCCATACAAATCTTTGACTTTTCAGTTATCATTATGGTTGTGAGTACAGACCAGGTTTAACACATTAGTCCAGGATTCAAGAGACCTTTAAGCACCAACAAAGGATAAGAACTACGGTGTTTATATTGCAACAGAGAAACACTGTAGCACCATTTCATCATGACCAGGAAAAGGTACTTTCTATCCAAAGAAAATTCTCAATGTTTAATTTGAAAGGAACATAACAGCACAATAACAATCCTCCAAGTAGAAAGATGATGTTTTCTACATACGCAGATGCTGTAATAATCGTATTGTTGTAATGCTATTTCAACAGTAATTGCTTCAGTGAGATTGTCAGTCACTTCCCCTATAAAATTGTTAATAAATAATAATCCTTGCATTTGATATAGTGCTTTTCACATCTTCTTGGCATCTCAAAGCGCTTCACCCAGAATATGCTGTAAAGTGAATTGACTGTATAGTTGTTACACCAGGACTAATTTACAGGAAATGTTGGACAGTAGATATTAAGCAATTGAGCCTTGAGGATCAGCGGTCCTTCATTCTTCAAACAAAAAAAGAACCACTGAGTTCAGTAAATTTTGCTTTCTGGGCAGTTTCATGATTTGTGGCTCCAACATATGATAGCTTTGTCCTTTGGTAAGAATAGTTTGCTGACAATTGGACACTTTCAATCATATTAAATCTGGTACACTTGACAGTTTATTGTCCTGGAAAATATAAATCTTGTCACTGCAATTAGGTAAGGACACAAAGTGAGAAGTTTCACTTGCTGCTAAGTGGAGTGACTTGGACAACATGTGCTTAGAATGTGATTTACCTATTTCAAGCTGATGCAGTCAAGATTGCTACACCCAGCGACAAAGGGAATTTTAGCCCCATAATATCCTCGAACAAACTCAGAACTGTACTGTACAAGATTTGTGTATGAACTCTAGACTGATATATACACTCAGAAGCAGTTTGGGGCAATTTGGGCAATGTCTCTTAAGAGAACAAAGAATGCAGCCAAATAAGGTACAAATATGAATGTCACATTACCCACTTTACCCACAAACGTTATGGTACGTTAATCCAAAACAGAAGCTGTTTCGGAACCTTTTATTTGATTTACAGTAGAAATTAACTCCCAGTCATACCAATGGGCTGGGTAGTTTCAATGTGATTTCCTCAAGATTCAAAGCAGTGAGAAACAAAAGGCCTCATCGAAACTCCCAGCCATAACACTAACTCATAGACAAGTGGTAGCCAAGTCACCTAGATTATGCTCACAAACCTGCCCGTGACCATCTATTAGATGAATGTGGAGTAGCCCTGAATGCTTCTTTTATGCATGCTGCCATGTGTTTAGTGTGAAGCATAGAGCTGCACAAACTAATGGAAGAAGAATACATTTTAAACAATGAGAAGAGTGAAATCAACAAGACTTTGGTGACTGAGAGCATTCGCGTTTCCGGGATCAGTAAATGGACAAGTACTTTGGCAGTGTGGGATTGTAATGGGATTTTTGACAGGACAATCACCGTTAAAATGTAAGGAAAACAGTGGAGAGAGAGTGAATACAAAAAGAGTTTATATTTAGTGACAAACACTTCCAATGGTTCAATGGGTGGTTTATAGATATCGTTCAGGATTGTTCAGCATGGTGAAATACAGGATGACCAAAACATTGTGATGCCATTTAGTTTAATAATTACTAATAATTATCATCATTTCATTAACACTTATTAGACATTGCAATAGTATCACAACTTTTTGGTCACCCTGTATATATTAGTATATATTGTTTGCACATAGAATACAGAAGAATAGTTTAGTCTTTACACTTTAATGATGATACACACGGAATAGCTGACTGAAATTACATGAATTCTTGCTAATTAATGCACTGATAGTAACAAAAATTGGAAAAACAATACTTTTTTAAAAAAAAAATATTTCTCAGTAAACCAAACACTTAGAAGAATGTCTACAAACATATAAAAGGTGACGTAAGCAAGTACACTTTTCAAACATTTTCTATTGGAGAGAATGTTTCTCGTACCTTTCTAATTCTCGCAACAAAATCTCTCAATTATATTATGTTACAGTTCTCTTTCCTCAATATTTCTCATCAGATGGAGCTGGCTGCCTCTAATTAGTATTTCACTTTGTAGTTGCTGTTTTCACAGAACCTCAGTTAGAGTTTCACATGAAACATTACCCAGGCATTTCTCATAAGAGAATATATTGTCAATTCACCCACTGCTTCCACTCACCCACTTCTGACCTTTTATGCTGCCACTATGTCTATGTCATTCGGTTTCTCTAACCTTGTACACAAACACCTGCAAAGCCATTATTAGAAAATTGGTTTATAAAGTTGCTCATGAACCATTTTCAGCTGCGATGGCAAATGCCCTGCTAATACTCGTTGTCAATGCTCACATGTAAATAATCGTCAGTTGGACGAGATATCAGAACGCAACCAACACCTGTGGGACCCCACCACAGCATAAGGAATAAGAAGTCAAAAGATCAGGTGAGGAAGAAGAAGTGATAGGAGAAAAAAGAGAGAAATACAGTAATGGTTAAATAAGAAAAGGCGCAAAGAAGTTAGATTTGGAGTCTGCTGAATAATTCTCTCATCTGTGAACAGCCTCGACTGTAAGCAGCAGATTGCGGTGCACCATCCTGAGATCTGAGGTTTTCCTATGGCTCTTAGCTTAGGAAATGCTTTCAACAGGACACCCGGGACACAGAAGCAGTGCTAATATAGCTCACCCCACAATTCAATCTAAAAGCCTTAAGTGATGAACTCAGTGCAAAAAGATTGCCCTTCAAAAGTCAATCAATCTCAGAGCAACAAGTCACCTCCACTGCAGATGGAAAGATTCATCCTGCACAATAAGTGAAAACTGTACCAACTGGGACAAGGGGAGTGCTGGGCTGCTTTAACTGCTAAGGCTGAGTTGGAGTGGGATGAGCTCCATTTTAGATAGTGAGTGAGCAGAGAGCTTGTGGTACACAGACATTTTTATTAGAGCCCATCACTATAACAGAAGTGATGCTGAAAGTCCTGGGAGCAAACAATCAATTGCATCCATATTTGATTACTCTTCAACAAATGTAATACAATCATCGAAAATCCTTTTTTTTTAATACTTGGAAGCACTTCTTGGGTAGTAATTGATGACTGCCTCTCCACCCTAAAAAGGTACCTTCTGGGTCACTCATAATACACAATAATATTCTCATCCCTTCCCCACACCAATTACACACAGCCAGGCAGAATGCTGAACCAGGAGGAAATGGAAATCAATTAATTAGCAAGTGTTTGAGTAATAGTTAACTGCATGTTTATATGAAGTGCACTTTCTCTGTGCGCTAGAGGACATGCATGAAGTGTCATTGTGGGAGAGGGCATGTGAGTGGTTTTGTTGACACAAGGCTCCCAGTATTACCATATTAATTCCTTTGCTTATAGTCACAAACAGGAGCTGAATCATCTCAAATAAATTGGCTCCCAATTCTCATTTACAGCTCTCAAGATCAGAAATCTAATAAAATCAGAAGAGACAGCGCTAACCCTATGCTGCTTTTGTCACATCAAATCTAACTCCAAATAATGGTGGTATGGGAAAGGGTGGTGGGGGGGTGGGGGAAGAGATTGTGATAACCAAGAAAATAAATAAATCTCTGCATCTGTAATATCGACGCGCCTCCAGAACAGGAATGATATTAGAAATTTTGAATTGAGTTAACATCCATTCATTTTGTAGATGAAGAACGCTGTTGTAAGCAAACCAAACTTTCAGATTCACTCCTCAGGTGAGTCGTGCTTTTGTAATCTGAATCAGAAACTCTAAACGTTTCATCTAAATTAATTTGATCCTTTGAGGACCCAGTTGTAATCTTCCTGTCACTCCAAAACACTCTTCTAGGCTATCCACACGGTTTATTTTACCCGATCATTTTCGTCCTTGCAGTTTTTTCTCCTGAAAATTTCCCAAGTGCAATCAGTTTTCTAACTGGTTTTCATTTGATTTTATCCAATTTCCAGGTTCTTTCTTTTAACTAATTCCCTTCTCTATCTTATTATATGGTCTTATAAATATACGGCCAATTCACTTTACAGTCTATTCTGTGAAGTGCTTTGAGACGTCGAGAAGACGTGAAAAGCGCTATATCAAATGCAAGGATTATTATTATTATTTGTTAATCTATTTCTCAGCTGTTCCCCTGGGCATTGTACAGGGTTTCTCCCTGGTTCAACAACAACTTGCATTTATATAGTACCCTCCATGCCAGGCGGTGTCTCAGAGCGCTTAACAATGGTGGAGCCTAAGCCCGAGCGAGGGGGAGGGGGAAGGTTATCGTAGGATGTACCCTGGTCGTACTGTGTTTCTCTCGGTCGCACACCCAAGCACAGTCTTTTTCCGTCACGTTACTGTTTGCTCACGATCTTGTATTTCGACAGCAGTAACTTATTTCATTTCATATCCTGTCGTCAACCACCTTTCCAGGTAACCTGTTCCAGTCATTAATTACCCTCCTGAAATTGCCCTTCATAACCCTGAACCTTTGCCTCGTGTCCTACTGTCTTTGGTACGACTGAAAGTGTCGCCTGGGGTTTACTTTCTTAATCACACATTGAACTGTTAAATGGAGTTACAAGGATTTCTGAAATCACCATCATGCCTGGAAGGGAGAAACACTTACTTGCATCGCTGAGCATCAGAAACACAACATTTCTACATTTAATTAAAACTTTACTTGGAAAGTTAACTATTGTTGGCTCTAAAAACCCTTTCAATGCAAGATAAACATTCACAAGCGCCGTATATATTCACTGCTCACAGCACCAGCTCCTCTCGCTTTGGGATGTCCTCCTGACATGAATGGAGTTATATAAAGTAAGTTATATTGTATGGAATACGTAGACAGGACCTCAATTTAACATCTCATCCAAAGAACAGCTACTCCAACAATCCAGCACAACCCCATGTTGTGGGAAATAATGACTCATGTAGTGGCCAACATAGCTCATAAACTTGCAGTGTTAAACAGGTATAGAACCAATACAATTTATTCTCTGAAACAAAAGGTATCCTCCAGCCTTCACATTTCTTGGATAACAGGAGAGGACCACTCAATACATATTGTAGAGACCTCACCTCGCCTGAGGAAAGTATATGTATAGAGGGTCTTAGCTCGCCTGAGAATGCATTATACCTTATGCATTTAAATCAGTAGAGCTTTGCTAATGCTACAATGCAGGGAAAGCTATAAAGAACATTCAGAGTTACACATTTCATCAGACGTTTCCCTCTGGTTTCAACCTGCTCACAAATAACATTCTAATGAACCTTCGCTGTATTTGTTTGGAACAAATTGATGTTTAAAACACCAGTTTTCAAATTCTGAAAGCAAATAGCAAAGCACCATTTTACAATTTCAGTAGATACCTGAGCATACAAGACAAGACCGTCCTCCTGCCATGGCAACAGATAGAAGGAGAGGTTTAAGAGCGAGAAGCTAATGCCCTGGATCCCTTAGGGGTTAGGAGTACCTACTGGTGGAAGGCATTCTTCCATTTGGCTTGCCCTCAGGTAACTAAGAATCTAAATTTGGATCACATCACAGGAACAGAGAAACGTTTGAAATTCAGGACCATTTCCCACAGCACTCAGAACAAACCACTGAGTAGTGTGCGCGCATGTGTTTGTGTTTTTAATAAAAGCTACCGTATTTATTAATAAACCCTACCAACCCAATTTTACAAGAGCAGATTGTTACAAAATCTAAACCACCACCACCATGCTTTTGATAGCGAAGTGGAGGAGAAAGCAGAGATAGCAGCCCCTCACTATTGGTGCAAATATAATTCAGTCCATACTACAAGACTCAATACACCAGCACCATCCTGTCAAAAACACTAAGAAACTCATCTGCTGCTAACAATAGAACAAGAACCAGAGATTTCAACATTTTCCTTTTTGTTCCAGCTGGAAAGAATTCCCGATCCTCTCCAACAGGAACTTCCTTGGGCTAATTTGCAAATGTTCTGTTCCGCAAACTACCCCATACTTTTCCTAGACTGCTCTTACTTGTGCACGAGTAGTCATCAACTCTGGTGTATCCTGGGAGGCAGTCACAGAGATACGATCCAGGCAAATTCACACACACGGTGTTTGCATGGCAGTAGTGTGTGCCATTCGCACACTCATCTTTATCTGTAATAAAATGGAGAGCAGACAAAGATTAGGGATTATGAACCGCAAGATGTGATGTGCACTTTGTTCTATTAGCGGCTGGAATGTTGATCGGGTGTTAGGGTGAAGATTTCTGTTTCATCTGCAAATAACTACATTTAAGTGTAAGCAGCTTGCAATTTTATATAGTGCTCTTCACATAGAGCGAGGCCTCAGAACGCTTTACAGAGATGGTGCTGGACACCGAGAAGGTGGCCATAGGCATGGTTGAAGAGGTAGGTTTTTAAGGTGGCTTTTGAAGATACATAGAGGAAGGTGAGAGAATGGGATTGAAGGAGGATAGTAACTGGAGGCTCAGCTACCAATAATCGGAAAGGGGTGCAGCAAGTCTGAAATTTCCAAGCAGAGGAGGCGAGCAGAAGACTGAGGCCGGAGACGATCGCAATGGCAGGGAGATGTGAGAGCACAAAGGGATTTGTAGCGACGAATGCGTGGATCAGGAAGTTGATCTTCTAGTGGAGCCTGACCAGGGTGATTGTGAAGGACAGGAGAGTAAGAGCATTTGAATAACTGTGAAATACTAACAGTAAAGGTCTTACAATTAAATTCCCAAATCTATAAAAAATGGATATTATAATAATATGCTTTTTATATCGCTTTTCACATCAGGAGGACATCTTAAAAGTGCTTCATGGGATACACTGTGTATTTTGTAGCAAATGGTGCAGGGGCTAGGGGGGGAAAGAGGAGAAATCCAATTCAGATTTGGATTCCGATGGCAGTTGCACCCACGCACAACAACATATTGTGTGCTCTGTGCTGCTCTATAACACATGTGCTTCTGCAGTTGGCAACCGGAAGAATCAATGAGCAGGTTGATGCTCAATCCGTTGTGCAGGCTTCCCTTCTATTTTGTGTTCGATGCAACAGTTCAGCAGATTTCTATAATTTACTGCTTATTCATCTGATGCTCCATTTCCAGAATAATCTTGGTGAAAGATTTGTCTAAGTTACCAGGTTCAATGGTGCTTCACCCCTTGGAGATTCTTATCCCGAAGGTCTAACTAATCTTATTTGATATCCCTTCAGATAATCCGAAACAAATCAATGTCTTTAAAGTTCACAAAAAAGAATCCCAATATAAACCATTAACGGCCTCGCATGTAATTTCGGGCACAGAAGGTGGTCATTTGGCTGTGCTGCCTATTTTAATGAGCAATCCTTTCAGTCCCATTTACCTGCCTTTACCTCATACCCCTATAGTTTACTCCTTCCTATGAATATTTCTGCAAATATAGACCAATATAAGGCCATGATCAGGAGCTACTTGACCCAATTCTATGCTTTCCTGACATAGTGAACCACTGCTGCCAGCCACAAACTTTCTACCAACTACTGTCTGGCAAACAGAGGTTCACTAATGCCACTTGAGACAAAACGACTACTATTTACATTTATGTAGTGCCTTTCACATCGGAAGTACATCTCAAAGCCATCACGCAACTGAACCGGGAATCTGAACTGGGGAAAGGAAAAAGTTTCCAAAAGCCTTGTCAAAGAGATAGATTATAAGCTGGGCTTTGAAATTGAAGAAGGAGTTCCAGAGATCAGGGGCAGAATGGCTGCTGGCTCACTCACCAACCAAAAGCGAAAAGGTAGATAAAGCAGAAACTGCTGAGGGGGTTTGTGTGAAACTAGCAGTATGGTTGAAACAAAACTTCTCAGATAAACATTTATGTTACTGGCTCTTAACAAAGCATTTCCTCTGTATTGTCCAAATATACATTTCCCGTCAGCACAGCTTCTATCAAAAATACATTCAGCTTAGTTTCTATTTGTGGGGACTCCAAGGAGTAGAAAATAATGATTTAAAACACTTATCATTCAATAAAGCACTGAATCAAAGAGACAGTTATTCTTCCTTCTGCTGATTAGTATATTAAAACCAAGAGCATCACTTAAGACTAGGTGCATTTTAAAAAAATGTAATGGAAGGAAAACGCACTAATTCCTTGCTGTACTGCGCACCATGGGAGTCATAAGAAACTACAGCAATGCTGTGCAAAAATCCACTTCATTTCCGCAGGGAGCTATCCACCATCCAACATTTAACAAACTGCAGTGCATTTGATGCAGTGTAGCATACGCTTAATGTCTTATTCTTTCAAACAATGGGGGGGGCGGAGGTTAAGGTAATGTAAAAAGAATAAGTATGCCATTTTAGCACTAGAAGATTTTCAGTGTAAAAATGCCATGACGTATCCACTATAGTTTATTACAGAAAATAACCCAGTTGTTACTGAAAGCTCCGAGTCCTTTGGGTTCTACTTTAGATAGCCCTTCAACGGGATTAAATCCATCTGCAAGGACAAGAAGATGTATTTTACAAGAAACATTGACTGTTTTGTCAGTGAATGGATTATAAATGATACCTTGTAGTGAATTTAAGGCGTAATCTAATATCAAGTTTAAAATGATGCATGAAAATTGCTTAGCTTTTGCTCGTGTGGTTTAATATCTGTTCCCGTTAATTAAGTTACGGTCTTGCATAGTGGTTGTTATTTCTCTGTAATCGGTGATAGATTATAACTCAATAAATTTGAGTGTTGCACAACAACCATTAATCTGTCAGTATGATTATAATAAAACATTTGTTGCAGCAATTGCCCTTGTCACCATTGTCTGACATAACTTCTACCACAAGCAACAAAAACAGTGGAATGAAAACAAAATTTCCCTGTATGAACACCCCAATACAGCATTACAGAAAACAGCTGCATGGTCTTACTTCAACAACAATCTTATATTAGGTTTCAAATACTAATTATGAATGACTAATTCATAATTACTGAAAGGGTGGTCGAGGCCGATTCGATAACTACTTTTAAAAACGCGGTGGACGGGTATTTGAGGCGGACGGGTTTGCAGGGTTATGGGGAAAGGGCCGGGGAGTGGGATTGACATTAATTGCTCTATTCAAACAGCTGGCACAAACTCGATGGGCTGAATGGCCTCTTTTTGTGCTGTACAATTCTATGATTCTATGATTAATTATGAATCCACATCATCTTTGTGCATTTTACAAAGAGATGCATTTTACAAAGACCACAGCAAGGACAGTGACATGCCTGTTTCCCCAAGCTACACGCATAATTTATTTGCATTGTGCAATGCTGCTGCTGCTGCTTCCATTCTGCGTGATGTCACTTGCTCCCGCCAGGTTTCAATCCCTGGTAGCAGGTATAATATAGTTTATACCAGTGTGTCTCCCTCCTAACCTCTGTCTGTCTCCTTCCCCTGCGGGCTGCCCATTGCTAACCACAATGAGCTCCCACCCCCCCCTCTGCGCCACCTCTAACCCCCACAGCCTCCTGCAGGCTGACAATGTCCCATTATTCCGCCGTCTCAGCGTGTGCTGCTTGGCTGCCGCCCCCGACCCGAGCCACTCCCTGCAACTCTCCTGCTCTGTCTTGCTCTCTCCTCCTCCCCGCCTCCCATCTCTGCTTGACACGCTCGGAGAAAAGAATCTGCGAGGCGTGGTGGTGAGGGCGGAGGAGCCGGTTGGCGGTGGAGAACAAGAGTCTGGGGTTGCCCTTCGTCTCCAAGATTAACCTGGAATAGAAGGACGATTTGGCCGAGGCGAGAGCGGAGGGGGAGGTCTTGATGAGGTCCAGCCAGATGTGGCGGTGGACCGTTAAGCCGGAATTGAGCCAAGAGCGTTCGGCAGCCAACACCTGGCCCTTCAGCGAGCGGAAGTGGCTGGTGAACCAGGTTGAGGATCGGGAATAGGAGGCAGTGAGGGGGGCAAGGGCATCGAGTGTGGTGGAGAGGGTGCTGTGGAAGATAGTAAACGCAGAGGATGGGTTGGTGCGGGAGATGGGCCAGAGGGGGAGGAGTTCAGAGGACTCCAGGGCAGCGGAGAGGGATTGCGGGGAGATCTTCTTCCACGGGCAATTAAATAACTGAATAAGCCTGAAGCAATCTGCAGGACAATCACGTATTTGAAGCCCCAATTAGAAGAGTCTTAAATTTGGCACTCGGTTGCTGTTGGTGTCATCTCTGCCAATACAATCAATAGTACACTTTACGTATCTTTTCATTCACCTGATGGTGTCCCATTAAATAGTAAAAAAAGAAAAAAAATCCAGTCACACAACATTAATCTACTTCTAAAAATTAGTCAACTGCAATCTCAAGCTCATCAAACAATGTCAGATTGTGTGGGATCCTACAGGGAACAAGTGGAGAAATAGCACAATTAAAGCAATAGCTTCGAACAGCATGAACTGGTACTTTAGCAGCAGCAATGGGTCACTGCTCTCTATCACAGCAACCCAATCCTAGTCAAAGAATTTTGTCCCAATTTAGATTTGCAAAATGATTCAAAGATGTTAGAAGACTGCTGCGTTTGATGCTACAATGTCTGATAAAATTACCAAGCTTGGGAGTTTCAAGCACAACTACAATTTTTAAATGATGTGGCATCACGACTTCTTATCTCAGCTGCCATTTAAATCGTTGAAATACTATAACACTGTCATTCGGTTCTGCGTTTTCTCATGTCGAAACATCTCAAAGCCCTTCTCAGCCGTGTTCCTGTAGGAAAATGAGACAGCTAAACTGCCTAAGCAATGTTCTAAACTTCAATGAGATGAATGGCCAATTCATATGGTTTCTGTTTTCTGGGTGTATTTGTGTGAGGGAGGAACAGTAGCAAGAACACTGTGGGAACTTCTTTGCTCTCCTTTGAAATGCTATATCCAATATCTACCAGAACAGGAGGGAATTTCAAGATGACTTATCCAAAGGATCAGTGTATGAAAATATGAGGGAAATTGAATTTATTTTATTTAACACCTTTGCTGCTGCTGTTCGCGAGTCAAGGTACAGGGTTGCTGGCCAATTGATAATTGTTAATGTCATGCCAGCTTCACGAATAGAGCAAGATTAGTACAAATGAGCGACAGCAGAGCTTTAACCTTTGAAAGCCCTAGGTGCCATCAGCACATGGCTTGTAAATT